TTTTTTGGTTCCCCAAAATCCCTTGACGGCTGTCCTCTTTGTAAAACAGCGAAAATTTGGTTATTTTTCGTTGTTGGTTCTCATGTGAGAATCCGTAGAGGATGTTAATGCATATAGGAGTATTGGATTTGTGTCTAATGCTTCTCAAGTGTATGTGTTAGCATCCATCTTATTTCCCAAACCTTCGTCCACCAATGACCCTAGGCTAGGCGATCTTTCCTTGTCCCAAAACGAATGTTGAGGTGTAGATTTCTTTGCATCATGAGACATGTTTCCCCACTTGATTAAGTGTCACAACAAAACTTACACGAAATTTGGGGTTTCATATTTGCCAACTTGTACATTCTCCATGGCTTTCATGAATACACAAAATGTATTTTTTTTAAATGGATTTTAAATCTATGGCACACTTCTTATAGGATTTCACATGAATCTCCAAAGATTTATGTTGCAAATCCTAGGATTAGTAAAGCTTTTAGAAATCCATTTTTGGGTGTTTTGTGAAACTCATGGATGTGATAACAAATGAGCACTCCAACTTATGAAATCTCTAATATTAGAGACGTTTGCCCATGCTTCTAACACATTAAAGTAAAAAAGAGTTTGCAAGCTTCAATTTATTTGGTTTTATGCATCTTTATTTTAAAGCTTAGATTGCAAAAATAATTTGTAAATGCAAAGTTCTTTTATGTGATGAAGCTTGTAAATTTTTGGGATGCTTTGCAAATGTTTGGAGGCAAATTTAATCAATTTGGTGAGCCTCTCATGTTGTGAGTTTGCACATTAACCTCCCAAGGCTCATGTTGAAATCCCACAAAGAGAGCGTAATTGATTGAGTTTGTATACAATGTTTTGCAAAATAAGGATAGAAGCAAATGTTTTATATTGCTATGCATTTAAAGATTAGCAAATTTACTAATATGCTTATCAAATCTCCAAATACTTATGAAACGAGTATGGGGTCAAGTTGATAAACATATTCGATGAAGTTTGCAAGTTGGTTAATAATTAGTAATTGAAACAATCAAACATCTCAAACAAAAAATGGTGAATCTTGCATGCATATTCTTAGGTTCTTGATAGAGCTTATCAAATCGATCTTTAGGGCATCTCTAAGATCTTTCAAGTCCTCTAGATCATACCAAAATTGACTTAGAAAACCTTTCAAGTTTGACACTTGGAACTTCCTCAAAGTTCCAAGTTCTATGTTGCATAAGTGCCAACAAGCATCACCCTTCACTTTGGATATTTTTGGAGTTTCCTCAAGGCCCCAAGTTTATTCCATCAACTTCAATCATCATGACTTTAAGAACAAATCCTAGATCATCTCTCTTGTTGAGACAAAAATCAATAAATGCTTGCACTTCCATAGGTGGTATTTTGGAGCTTCCCTAAGCTCCAAATATCCATCATATGGACCACTTAAACTTGAGACCAAACTCTCAAGTTCTCATACTTAGTTTGTTGAAACACCTAATCAACAAATAATTCACTCATGTGTTGTATTTAGAGACTATCCAAGCCTCTAAATACTTTTCCTATACATGAATCTTTATAGTTTGGAATCAAACTCTAAACTATCAACCCTTGTGTTGGAACATAAAACCAACCAATCTTTTCTTTCCCTTCGTTTGTCAATTCATAAAGTTGACAAATGAATCCCCTCCCTCATGCATGGTAATTTGGAGCACCACAAAGCTCCATTTTTCCATTGCATGAATATTCTCAACTTAGGATTCCAAAAAGCCTAGGTTCCACTACATGCCTACTCTTAGGTCCCTCTTAGATCTTGCCAAAATGGATCTTTAGGTTTCTCCTAGAAACTTTCAAACCCCCAAAATCATATTAAATTTGATTTGGGAAAACCCTCCAACGCATTAGGGAGTTGACCTTCCCCCTTTTAAGCAAATCCAAAACATTTGTAGGAGAGTAGGAGGTTCCATTCCTTATGCACATGTCCTTCATGCTTAATAGTTGGGGTGTCCTCTAAGTCCCAATTATTTTAGTCCATGAATCAAGGTTTTAGGAAACGAATCCTAAAGTCTCCACTCCGTTTGCTAATAATACAAAATTAGCATACAAGCACTCCTCTCATATGTGATGATTTGGAACTCTCAAAATTCCAAACTATCATTATATGAAAGTCTTGTAGCTTAGAACCAAAAATTCAAGCTACCTCTTTCTTTCATTTCGAGACACAAAAGTCAATGAAAGAATTTCCTTTTAGGCTTAGAATTCTAAATCTAGCTTATCTCATTTGCCTAACCTAGCATAAGAAGAAGGCCTTGCATCATTGAGCACAAAAACTCGACGATCTGTCTCTTGATTTGTAGTTCCAAACTATAAATCATTTCTTTTTGCATAACACTTGGAGCTTCCCTAAAGCTCCAAAGATGTTGCAAGAATCATTAGAAGCTTGGAGCCAAACTCCAAGTAATTCACTTCTCTCATTTGTTGAGACAAAATCAACAACTACATTTGTTGGCCCAAAACCAACAATTTTTTTTTCTTTTGCTAGTAGCCTTCAAAGTCCATATAGAGGTGCCCAAATGACCTCTAGAGGGGCCTAAAAGGATACATGCAAAACTTAGAACCAAAGTCTAAGTTTTCTCTCTACATTTGTTGGAAACACAAAACCAACAATGTTTCCTTTGCTAGTAGCCTTCAAAGCCCATATAGAGGTGCCCAAATAACCTCTAGAGAGGCCTAAAAGGATACAAACAAATTCAGAGTCACGGTTTGAGTTCCTTCATTTTCTTTGTTGGAGCATAAGACAACAAATGCCTTCTTTGCTAATGGTCTTTAAAGCCTATGTAGAGATTCTCAAATGATCTCTAGAAAGGCTCAAAAGAATATTAGCAAAGCCTTTAGGATTTGACTCCTAGGAATACTCCACCATTCGCTTAATTCGAATCAAGTGAATGTTTATCTCTTTCTTTGGACATCGGATATTCAAAGAAACTTCCCCATTCACTTAATATAAAAATAAGTGAATGGTTACTTCTCTTTGGATACAAAATGTTCAAAGAACAATCATGAGATTTTACAACTTTCAAATGTCTTCTCCCTTCAACCTCAAAGTTGTAGGGAGTTTATCAGTTATTTATTCATTGTAACACAAACATCAATGAATAATTTCTGAACCTAGAATTTAATTCTAAGTTCTTTTAATTTCACT